AACTGAAAAGTTCTCCTTGCGAGCATTCACTGTACTTGAAATAAAATGGGATTTATCAATAACTATTTACTAACACCAAACGGCTATGCACAGGACAACATTAACTAAAATATTAAAAAAAAAAAACTATTTTAAGTTTATTATAATTTAAGAAAGCATTAAAACACTAGATCCGTCAAATGATGCAAGACATTTGTGAATACAAGACTTGTATTGTTTGAAAATATTTCCATAATTAATTTCATTCTATTCAATTCTTTTTTACAGTACTTGTGAGTACTTTGTGGTAAGGCTCTACTGTGTAATAAGAGTCACTAGATATAGACATACTCATCTGTCTGAATGTTAACTAAATCAATATGATATGGAATATAGACACATAGAATTAGTTAACCCTCAATAGATTCCTTAAACTGTTAACACAATCTTCCAAACGAAAACTTATTTGATAGAATCGAAAAAATATATCAATATAACAAGTCTTTGAATGAAATGTAAATTATGCATGAGACTATTCAGCCTTTATATAAATTGAATTCCAGATCTTTGATCCAACAAACCCAACACAGCCTGCAGTACGGCTAGCATAGATAACTGACATAATCCTTTATGTAAATGGAATTGCAGATCTTTGATCTTCAGTCAAATTAGTTATATCGTCCTGTGCATAGGCCACTTGAAGAAATGTATTCATAGATCATCGTTTAACTCACAGCTCCCAGGATGGCATCAAGGACGTCATATCTAACTAACCAACACACACACACACACAAATACACACCTACATGTACATGTACAGATGCACAGCTCATGATACTCAGACACAGCTCTACAGAATGTCTATATAGCATTATACATACATACATATAATAAGCATATGATCGTGTAATCCTAATCCCGGACAGAACTGTCCAACTGTCAGCCATGTCGCACTCGAACCAGTCCGTAAACTCATAAACTGCATAAAAGTACTTGATCTCATTCACAGCCAAATTCATTGTGAGCTGCTCGTCGGGCAGCGGCGGCACGCCCAGCATCCCAACAGCAGGGAATGCCATCTCATCCAGTTCATCCAAATGGCTGCTGTCCCCGACACTGGAGGAGGACAAAACGTCGCTGATAAGTCGCCTGAAAACGGACTCCGATGGCGCTGGCCTCGGGCTGCAGAGTGAGAGCGGCTCTGTGGGCACGGGATTCGTGAAGCTGCCGCTGGAGGATCGCAACAAGTATGAGAAGCTGCGCAGCAACGATCAGCCCACATCCGATGACTCCGACTCGGAGTTCTTTCAGCAGGACAGCGACGATGGCGGCGGCGGTGGCATCGGCGTCGGTGTTGTCGTTGGCGGCGGCAGCGCCAAAAAGGCGGCCATCTTCAAGCAGATCGTGACGAACAACATACCCGAGACCATACACAAGATCCAACAGGTGGCCTACCAGAAGGTGGACAAGACGACGCACCTGCCCATTGTGAAGAAACTGCGCCAGACGGCGACCACAAAGCGACCCTCATCGTCGGCACAGCAGGCGGCCCAGCAGCTGAACCTAATGGCCGCCGCCGTGGCTGCCCAGGCAGCTCAGCAAGCGGCCCAAACGGCAGCGGCGGCGGCCAATGGGGAATCGGACGATGATGCCGATTCCATTGGCTCGGCCAGCGATTTGCGTGCCGAGGATGATGATCTATTTGATGAGAATCCGCGCGCCACCCAGGCCAAGCCACGGCGCGTGGTGCCCCTGGACATGGACGGGATCAGCGAGAGCGTCAAGACCTGCAGCAGTTCGGCCTATCATGCCGAATGCGAGAGCGTCACCACGCACGAGGATGATGTGCGCAGTCGAGTCGTGGTCAAGGTGCGCATGCGTAAAAAGGATCGCTGCGCAGCGGTGGCAGCGGCCAGCGGAGACGCCAATCCGGGCTGTGTGGGCAGTGGTGCCGGCAACGAGGAGCTGAGTCCCACGTCCAGCGATCTGCTGCACAAGTTTGGCGATCGTCCGCTGCTGCTGGACGATGAGTTGGACTATGGTTCGGCGGAGAGCAAGAGCAGCAACGAATCCTCAGCACCAGCGGCCAGCGAACCAGCTGAGCCCGAAGAGCTGGACGTGTTTGCCATGGCGCCCTTCAAGCTGCCCGTTGGCAAGCCGCTCAAGCGTGTGGCCAAGCCCAAGCAGCCGCGTCCGCGACCCAGCGAACCGGAAATGTGGACATCGACGCCGGTCAAGGGCGCGCCCGAGACGCCAACCAGCCAGGCGGCAAACTTTGCCAACTTCCCAGCACAGCAGGAGCAACTGCAGCAGGAGCAGCAGCAGCAGCTGCAGCTGCAGCAACCGCAACTCGATGAGTTCAATGAGCCCATTTTCAATCCGTTTATCGAGCAGCCCATTAACAAGGAGAAGCAGCAGCAGCAGCAGCAACTGGACGATGGCGAGCAACGTGATCTCTTTGGCTCGGAGCCATTTCCACAGGTAATACGCAAATGTGTTGTCGTTACGCCCGATCCAGCCCAGCTCCACTATCCCAACCACAACAACAATAGCAACAACAACAACAATGTGATTAAAATGAATGCTGTTGCACCTGTTGTCACGATCAATCATTCGATAATAATTAATAAAACGCCCGAACCGTTGACCAACCACCAACCGAACAAGAGCTCCAGCAGTGTCTATGTGAACGCGATCAGCTCCTGTTCCTTGCCAGCTCCAGGTCCAGGTCCAGTTCCAGTACCCAGCACACAGTTGCCTGCAATCACAATCGCCATTGCAGCTGCAGCTGTAGCTCCAGCTCCAGCTCCATCTGCAGCTTCAGCTTCAATACCACCAGCACCACCAATACAGCCCGCACCACACTTGCAGCCACTGCTGCCCATAGCCGATAATGGTTTTGTGCAAATCTCTCAAGAACGCTGCTCGGACTATACGCCCGACGACGAGGAGGAGCCCGTGGTGCTGCGCTCTGCCCACTTGGTGGCAGATAACGATGCGCCAGCAGCGGCATCGGCAGCAGCTGCGACGGCATCAGCCGCCGCCTCCATCACTGTTAAAGCCAAGAAGGAAAAGTCCCATTTGGCTGTGAGAGCTCTGCCGGCCAAGCTCACCCAAAAGGTCAAGGGACATGCCTATAAAAAGGTCAGCGCTGGCGCTCTCGGCTCCACCTCGTCCCTCAGCTCGGGCAGCAAACAGAAGCATCAGCGACTCCAATACCAATCCCATGACGATGATGACGATATCAATGTAGTCGGCGGCTTGGCTCAGGACGAGAATCGCAGCAACTTTCAGTCGAATACCATTCAGAACTCCGCCAAGACTGGCTTCAGCAATATGAGCTTCGAGGACTTTCCATCCGATCAGGAGATCGATCGCATGTCCAAGACGATACCGTTCGAGGTGGTGCGCAAGGAGAAGATGCTGCTCGAGGCCGAAAAGAAATTTGGCTCGCTAAAGCGACGCAACAATTTGTTCTCCTAAAACCGTTAACCGTTTACAGTTGCGTCTGTGCTTATCGGCACACTGTTATCAGCGCAAGTGGAAAATTCCTAAACAAACAAAAACAGAGTAGAGACTGAGACAATGTTTCAAAAAATTGGTTAGATGAAAGGCTGCTGCTTTTCTCTCAGTGTGCGTATTTACTCTATTTTATATTTTTATTTAATTGTTTTATTTGTTATGCGTTTCTTTTATACTTTTTATTAGCAGCTGCCACAGTTACAAAAACAAACACACACACACACCACACACACAATGAACTTCCAAGCACATAGAAATATATAAATATATATTGTAGACGATTTAACGTTCAAGCGCAGATCATGTATTTTTTGAGAATAGTATTTCTCTGGCTTTTTTTAACCCAGAGCTTAAAAACCCAATAAGAGAAGCAAAAGAATAGCAGCTCATCTATATCTATATGGCAAAAGATATATATACATATAACTAATAACTGTTATTTAGTGAAAACAATAAAAAAAAGAAACTGTAAATTAGTTGTAGCACATTTGTTCGATCGACCAGAAGAGATGTTGCTTTATGCATTATATAGAATTTATACGATTGCGTAAGTTTACCAAAGTTACAATTATTTGTTTATGGCATTTTCCCTTTGATTTGCATTGTCAAATTAACACTATTATTTATTTATATATATTATATTATCTATACATACATACATATATATAATCTTTATATACATATATATACAAAACATCAATGTGATTATCATACCCCCTAACACGCTAACAATATGAATGAAAGAAAGATCAATTTAAAAAAAAAATCAATTAATTTACTAACAATGAAATTCGTACTCAATTTGTTTATGAATGAATATGTATTCTTATCGACTATATATAAATTATCTATATATATATCTTTATATATATATATATATATTATTATCGGCGAATAAACTTGTTTCACCACAAATAAAAAGGGTATACGCTGTGTGTCTTATTTGGGCAGCCAATGTGCATCGGGTTGATGGTAACATTTTTTCGCACGCCACTGTAAGCATGCAATAGAAATATCAAATTATAAATGTGTCAATAATATAATTAATCTATATAGTTGTATTTATTTGTTGCGGAATAACGCCTCTACGCTCACTCGATACACTCATATCAATAACAAACGTAGAAAAATAATCAGAAACTGTAAGAGAACTGCTTACTGTGCCTTTTATTTGAGCGGCCACTGTGCCTATTGTAAACAGTGCTCATCTAAGAAATAGTCAGCTGTGCGAATGAGAAAAAGGAATAATATTAGACAAGCTCAGTAATGTTTTAGAGTAAAACTGTACCCCTTTCTGATTGCCACAGCTCATGACCAATAGCAGTAGCATTTTTCTGGACGCCACTGTACCCACTTAAGTCCACAGCAACAACAAATGTAAACAATAAACAGCTGTTTGCGAATGCGAAAGTGAAAAAATGTGAATAAGAGATGTGTAAGAAGGAAAAGTTGCCAGACACGATAAAATATTGTACAAAAAAAGTGAGCGACGAACAAAACAACAAAACGGAAATCAAGTTATCAGCAAAATTCTTAATAATCACGTACATTCGTAGGCAAAAACCGTGGCTAAATCCATAAACGCCGCAATTTTAAATCGCGTTAAATAACCCTAGATATACATACACACAGCCATATAAATTTGCTTTACCGTATGCAGTCGCAGCTGTCACGTAGCACCAACCGGAGCAAAATGGTGCCCGAGTTCACCGGCAATTGGCATCAGCATAGGGAAAAGCCACGCATCCTGGTCAAATGTGGCGGCTTCTCCAGCCAACTGGCACGTAATGTTAACGAGAAGGTCGACGGCGATCCATTGTGGGGTTCCCGATTCGATGCCACCCAGCCGGATGCCGTGATAAAAACCCACTTGGATTTTCTACGCAAGGGCGCGGACATCATACTGACCAATACGTATCAGTCGAGCGTGGAGGGCTTCATGAAGCATCTGGGCAAAACGCGCGAGGAGAGCATTGCGCTGATTGCTAAGAGCGTAGAGCTGGCGCGTCAAGCCAGGACGCTGTACCTGACCGAAGTAGCAGAAAATAACGGGGATATTGCCCCCGACATGCCATTGATTCTGGCGTCGATCGGGCCGTATGGTGCCCATTTGCACGATGGCTCCGAGTATACGGGCAGCTATGCCAATCTGGTCAACTTTAGCCAGCTCCAGAAATGGCACAAACCCCGGATTGACACCTGCTTGGCTGCAGGCATCGACGGGCTCGCTGTGGAGACGCTGCCCTGCCAGCTGGAGGCGCTGGCTGTCACAGATCTCATACTGACTCGCTATGCCACTCCTCGCTTCTGGGTGTCGTTTCAGTGCAAGGTGAAGATTAATTTGATAGCTTCAGCTAACTGTTTTTAATTTTTAATTGATTGGCAGGATTCGTCTAGTCTGGCGCATGGCGAGTCGTTCGCCGAGGCCGCTCTAGCCGTGTGGAACATGGTTGTGAAGTATAGGGCGAAGTCGCGCCTCATAGGCATCGGCGTGAATTGTGTGAATCCCAACCATGTGTCGCCTCTATTGAAATCTCTGCTGGCCAAGCTGCTCGACGGCGATACAGTTCCGCTCGTCGTCTACAGCAATCGCGGCGAGATCTACGACAGTGATCGTGGCGAGTGGACAGGCACTGGACTGAATGTGGCTTCATTTGTGCCCGAGTGGCTACGCTTGGGCGTACGCATCATTGGCGGTTGCTGTCGCGTCTATCCGGATGACATACAGGAGATACGGCAAACTATTGAAGACATCGCTCAGCAGCCGAATTCGCCAATACAAACATCGTTAGTTATATAGTCACTATCACTGCCGTGTCCGTCTCCGTCTGCCTGTCTGTGTGTGTGTGTGTGTGCGCGTTTTTTATTTCCATTCACTTTTCGGCCTAGACCCATATACATATGTATATGCACATATATACATACATATGTATATACATATATAAATTTATATATAGTTCATAAGTGTTTCTAACTGTACGAAATTGTTGCTAATTAGATAAGAACTAACAATTCGACAAATCAAGTGAATTGATGTCATTGAAATGTGCGAATTAGATTTTATTTTTATATATAAATATATATACATATATGTATATTATTCATTTATACATACGGTTCTACAAATGTGTATCAATGTCCAGAACAATACAATAAATCAACGCAGACCCAATCTTCTTGCAAAGTAAATGTGAATAGCTTCAAGCAGTAAAGAGCGATTGCTACTCGCCGATAGATGGCGCTGATGTGCTACTGCCAAGCACACAGCAGCCTTACCAGTTATACGAAACCTTTATCGTATTAAAATAGTCATGTATAGCTGCTATACTCACATCTCTGGAGTATTCTTTGTTATTCTGCCATATATAGCCATATCTGTAGAGCAATTCAGTTATGCGTATGCCACTTGTGTACCGTTTAAAGTACACTCGCCGATTGTCTGAGCCATAGTCTGCCATATGTCCGTCTGTCAGGTTCACACGAACAGGTCAAAGGCTATCAGACGGCGAAAATGTACAGCTTTAACCAATAACTGATTAAACAATTACAGTCAAATCAATACAGAACAGCGCCAACTAATTGCCGCAGCCGCTTCTCGCTTCAACTAGAAATTCCAAGTGGATAGTACTTATGTAGCATCCAATTGGCTGTGAATGCCCTCCGCTTGGTATTGCATCAGATATTTTAGCTCATTGGAGCAATGTGCCCCCGGCTGCGCATCTGTCCGTCCGTTTGGCTTGATTGTCTGCCTGGCAGCTGGACTCTACGCTGCTTATCACTAAGCCGGGCACTAGTTTGTTTTTGTTTGGCTTTGCATATATATATATATATATATATATATATATATATTTTTGCTTTATTTTTGTTTTGTTTTAGCCGCTGATAAGAAGGAGGCACGCTATAAAAGCAACCAGACGGCATTGTAAACCACTTAAACGCGCCTAGAACGTTCACAGCACAGCATAGTTCATTAATATATAGACCAACGCACCGAGAGAGACAGAGAGACACATATGTATATCAGCTGCAGACTGAACGGAATTTAATAAAGCACAGCCACATTGTTGATCGCATCACAAGCAAATAGAAAACAACTATTTAATCAATTACAAGATCTATTTATAAGCCCTCAAGGTGAGTGTCAACGAAGCCATGCCTAGAGAGGAGAGCGTGTCGTGCGGAGCGTGAGTGAAACTTGGACGAATTTAAAATTGAGCTGAAGAGAAATTGGAGAGTTTTAAATTAATAGAGCTGAGGAGAAAATTTGTGTAAAGAGAAGAGGGAGGCAGAGAGAAAGTAAGGAAATATAAAATGTATATGAGGAAGCAAAGAACGAAGATAGAAGAAAACGGTGGCAAGCTTAAGGCAAATCTAGACAAGGCGAACAGGTGAGAGGAGAATAACAAAAGGAATTAGAAATACTAAAAAGAAATATCGAAGGAGAAGGTGAAGACTCTTTCTTCAAGACAATACAATTCAAGTAGAGTAGACAAGGAGCAAAATGAAAAGAATTAGAAAATAAGAGGAAAAGGCAGAACTTTCAGATGCAGGAAAGAATGCGTAACACCCAACACCAGAAGAAGAAATCAGTTTCAGATATAGGAAAAAGGCAAGGAAAACGTAAAGACCAAGACCTAAAACTACTTCGTGTCACGCATTAGACATGCATCTCTATTTCAATTACAAGATCTGCCATAATAGAGATCAATTGAGTGTGAAATGATCTCAAGTCTTTAAATTATATAGCTCAAGTTCAGTGAACTGCGGCACGGACAAGGCTATCGGGTGGTAAACAAACTCAACTACAATGTGTTTTCATTATTACGATTATTATATTAATCAGCGAGAAAAACAAACAACAGAAAGTCGTGCGCTTAGGCAGATGTCAAGGCTCACATTGGGTGCAAAGAAAGCTGTCCAGCCCAGCTGGTCGCTGCGCCATTGATAAGCGCAATTACAGCGATGTAATCAGTGCCTGGCAATACTATATAGATATGTGTATTCATGTAATTTAATATATAAACCAATACTCTTCATCTGCCCGCCTGTCGCACTCTAGCAACGGGTTATCATGGGTCTGACGCGAATACTGGTCAAAGATGGCGGCTTTGGCACACAGATGACTGTCCATGTGGGCAACTCTGTGGATGGCGATCCGCTGTGGAGTGCTCGCTTCAATGCCACCAATCCAACGGCTGTTATCAATACGCACTTGGACTTCCTGCAGAGTAAGTGTAAACAGCTCCAATTAGCAACAAACAATGTAATCAAATTGTAATCTTATTGCTGTATCTGCTCACCGATAGATGGCGCTGATCTGATATTGACAAACACGTATCAGACAAGCGTTGAGGGCTACATGGAGTATCTGGAACTGGATGAGCAGGAGAGCGTGGAGCTGATAAAAAATACGGTTCGATTGGCGCACATTGCCAAAGAGAAGTACCTGACGGAATGCTATGAGGCACAGTTGGCAGTACCTGAAGGTAGGCACTACTCTAGACCTTCCTTGTTGCTCTGTCTCTAAATCTCTTTTGCTCCGCAGGCTATCCGTTGATTATTGCCTCAATCGGGCCCTTCGGTGCACATCTGCACGATGGCTCCGAGTACACTGGCAGCTATGCGGACTATGTGCCAGCAAAAACCATTACGGACTGGCATCGCGTTCGCATTGAGGCGTGCCTGGAGGCGGGCGTGGATGCTTTGGCCATTGAAACGATACCCTGTCAAATGGAAGCGGAAGCGCTTGTCGAAATGCTGTGCGATGATTATCCCGACGTTAAGTTCTGGGTTGCCTTCCAGTGCAAGGATGAAAGTACTCTAGCTCATGGTGAGGATTTTGCAGATGCTGCGAATGCCATTTGGGATTTGCTAGCTGAACGTAAAGCCCTGGACAAATGCCTGGCGGTGGGTGTAAACTGTGTGCACCCTAAGTTTGTGACGCCCCTCTTTAAGAGTTTAAATGGTGAGCGCAGTCCCGATGAGCAGATTCCCCTGGTGGTCTATCCGAACAGCGGGGAGGTATACGATGTGACAACGGGTTGGCAGGGTCGTGAGCACTGTGTGCCGCTCGAGAATTACGTCCCAGAGTGGGCGCAGCTGGGTGCAAAAATCATTGGCGGCTGCTGCAGAACGTATGCCCGGGACATTCGACGCATAAGCGAGGCTGTCCACGACATAAACAAGCTGAAAAAATTAGTCTGAGATGAATATGAAGATCTCTGATGGGAACAAACTGCATTCGTTATAGGTATTGAAGTATATTTTTAGGTATTTAGTATGTAAATAAAAGATATGTCAAAATGTTCTAAATATTCTTGTCATACAAAAATAAACAAAACATTATTTCTGTAAATTTTGAATTGACATTACGTCAATCATGTAACGGCGCCGAAAATATCGAAATTAATCGAAAGCGTGTTCTATCGCCATTCAGCAGGGAGCTGTGTGTTTTCAGTGTACTTCACCAAGTTGGCAGCATCGCTTGAATGACATTCGCAAAATAACGCCGCGACCAGAACAAGCTTGCGAAAAATTGTAATAAAATTACTTATTTTAAATTAATTTTTACTTGCGCAAGCCACAACACACACTAATACAATGCTGATTAAAGTGAAGGTAAAGCTTGAAAGAAAATAAAATTATGAAATTAGAGTTGGTGAAAGATGAGTGCGCTAGCCATGCGTCAGCTTTGGCGGACAACAACAAAATTGAATAAAATAGTGTAAATTGCTAATTTTCTTTAATTTTCATACATTTTTAAATAGACACTGACAGGCAAGGAAATTGAGATTGACATTGAACCCACAGATAAGGTTGATCGCATCAAGGAGCGCGTCGAAGAAAAAGAAGGCATACCACCCCAACAACAACGTCTCATATTCTCCGGCAAACAAATGTGAGTCTGGCGAAAATCAAATTGAAATTAAAACTAACAACTTGTGATGTGTCTTTATTAGGAATGATGACAAAACGGCGGCGGACTATAAGGTGCAAGGCGGCTCAGTGTTACATCTGGTGCTGGCTTTGCGTGGCGGCAATCATATCTATCTAAAGAATTAGACTGGCGGCCGGCGTGTTGAACTCGTCTTAGTAAATTGGTAATTGGTGATCCATTTAAGTCATTTTCTACAAAGCCACTTTCATGTTACTCAAATAAAAGCCCTGAACGGCATTTACATATTTACGAAAACTAACCAAAATTATTGGCGGCTGTTTAGCTATCGAAGACGGATGAAAAGAGAGATAATTTTCTTCCGGAATCTGGAATCTATAGCAAAGTGTTTAAAGAATAGAAACAGTTATAAAAAAATACATAGGCATATATATTTTTTGAGCTCTATTTGCGTACATAACGTCCGACTAGCAAATGATTCTTTGGCGTGCACTGCTCCGGCTTGAGACGTGTGAGTATCACTTGGTAGCCGGCTTCCTCGGCCTGCAGCTTGCGATCCGTGTCAATGATGCACATGCAACGCATGCCCTGTAGCGTTGTCTCCGGCTTGCAGTTGCTGGTGCCCAGTTCGTGTGCTTGATCCGCCGTATGCGCTATATACAAATAGTCCTTCATATTGAGCACCTCCTTAAAGCGGGCGCTCAGTGGATAAGTGATGTGAGGCATGGGCTGCAGTGAGCCGTAGCAGCATGGACAGCAAACAAAGCCCGCATTCACGCGCTGGCACTGCTGCAGCACAATGTCCGTGGCTGTGCCGCAGGCATGCAACGAGGCGCCTATATCGAAGCGACCCATAAAATAATCAATATTGCACTGATAAAAGACACAGTTGTTCAGCTTCAGTTCGGCTGCACGCTTCTGGGCGTGCGCCAGCGAAAACGCCTTGTTCTCCAGTACAATGATGATGCACTGGGGCAGCTTTAAAGCGAGCAGTATAGCCAAGTGACCTGTGCCACTACAGAAGTCAACGATACGATCGCCAGGCTGGGCCAGGGAGACAACCGCATTAGCCATGTTCTCGAGTTGTTGGCGCTTACGCTCCAGACGCTCCGCTGGCAATGCTGAACTCTTGGCATGTGTAGGCTCAATGCACTGCCAGTCGATGAGCTGTTCCCCAAACGAATGCTCCGAGTCAATAGTGAATTGCAGCTCTAGTGATGATAGCTTGGATAATGCTGCCTCCACTTCGGACTGACTGGTATAAATGCGATTTCGTGGACGATAACGCTTGGGATCAGCCTTATAGAGGCTCATCTCCTCACAATCGGGTATGCAAAGTAACTGTGTATGCTCCGCTGGAGACACAAGAATGGGCACATACAGCTCGTGTAGGATGCGAGCACAGCTTGAGTCGAAGCTCTCAATCTGCAATATGATTGATGAGTATATAAATAAGTTAATATTCATTAAAGCGTACACACCTCGCTGAACCAGGTACTGATCAGTGGAAAATGCGGCAACATCTGTGCACAATGTTGGAAGACTAGACGCAGCAGCGGGTAGAGTATCAGATCAGCAATGGTAAAGCTAATCCCCTCGGCGAAACGATGCTCGATCAGCAGCTGTTCCTTCGGTATGCTGCATTCTATGAGCACACGCTCCTTGCGTTTCAGCGGGGTACCGTTCTCTGTTAGATTGGCCTGCTCTCTGGCCAATTTATAAATGTTATGCATTCGCACCGGTTGATTCATGTGCTGTTCAAAACGCACCACTTCGACAGGCACCTCACGCAACTGGAGCTCCCCGCTTTGCAACTGGCTGACCAGATTAACCACGTCTACCTCACAGAAACGTGTCCATATGGAGGCCTCCGCTGGTGCCAGAAGGCAGCTTCCCTTGAAGCCCAATAGTTGACGCATATGCTTGTTGGGTTGGCGTGCTACAATCTCTCGGCAAACGGCACATGTGCCTGCAATATAAATATTTCCATCCCGCTCATAGATGGGCAGACGCAGATCTCGGAGGGCGGGCAACGTGGCGGCATCGCGACATGTGATATGCTCATCGGTCAGTTCGCGTCTTAGCTGAGAGCTGCGCAAAGCAATTTTTCCAGCACCGATTTTGCTTGCAACAAAATTAACTTTAATATTTCGGGGCTCCTTGAGGTAGCGATAAGTGTAGAGCGCTAGGAACGAAGGCACGCTGGTATAAATCGTTGTTTCTGCATTCTGGGTGCTTAGCTCAATCTCCACATACAGTTGATCCATAGTTTAATTAATTAAATTAATCATTTAACTAAGGAGTATGAAATTCAAACAAAAAATCAGCCGAAACACAAAACCAACAAATAAAAATAAAATCAAAGTGCGTTTGAGGTTATGTGCAAAAATAAATAAAATCAGCTGTTTACTGCCAACAGGCGCAGGCAACAGCTAACAGCCATTCACAAGTAAACGCGCGGGGGAGATATTTGAATTGGTTTTTCGTACATTGCGCTAGAGTTTAGCCAATTTGCATTTGTTGTAATGTTTTTGTTATGCCGACATTTTAATTCAAATAAATCATTACGTAGTTAAACATACAACAAAATAAAAATTGCGACACAGCTACCCATATACAGTCACAGCCAGTCCAAGTCAGGTACTTGGGCCAGCGGTCAACGCTGTATCGAACCGAAACGCCAATGTTAGTTTAAATTGACCAGTTGTATGAAACAGGTGCGTGCTTTGTCTACCTGATTGTGAATAATAAGAGCAGGCCTAAAACTTCTAATTGGTTTGCCAGCAATTTGCATTATTACCCATCAGCTGTGCATATTTACAATGTGCGTACGTGTGTGCTCGTTTGTTTATTTGTTTGGATATGCGCCTGCCCAGTGGCGAATGCAGTGTATTGCAAGTGCTACAAACGTCATATGAGCGCAACAAAACTGCATTCGAGTCAAGGTCATCGGCTCATTCATTAAAATTGTATTTTAAAGTGAGAACGGATGTAGCCCCTTCAAAAAAAAACTCCAACAATCATTATATAATTATTTCAAGCGCATACTTAACTCTCTCTTTTTCTCTCGCTCTCTGTCTAGCTTTGTCTGTAAAGCTCATTCAAGCAGCGCTTTAAATGCGCAATACTCCCGCTACGTTGAAAAGAAGAACCAGTTAATGCTTTAATTGAAAGCTTATGACTAACGGATACCCTGTATGTCATTTATTTACACAGTGTCATTCAATGTTAAGCTTTTGAATTGAATGCAAATAAATGCATTGTATAATTTATTCGATTAGATTAGGCAATATTACGTAGACCCATTGAGTTTGTTTATGTCTATCAATTGCAAGATTGCAGTCACTTGTTATTTACTGATTTGTACTATCTAAATTGCAACTCAGACGACATAAACTATAAAATATATATAATATATATGTATATACACAATTCAATCAATCATATACATATGTATATTTATATACCATGTCCAATGATTAACATTAAGTTCGATTAATGAGGTGCGATCACGACTTGCTTTGTGCTCTGATTGAGCAATGTTGATAAACAAAGCAAGAGTTACTATACTCGACTTTGATATCACTAAGTAAGCGATAAACAAAATTTAGAGCATATTTGTCTTTGAAATTATCATACTTTTGTACATCGTTGTACTTTCTAAGATTCATTTCATGAAGCTGCATTGTATTTGATAATTTAGTGTCTTGCTTTATCTAAGCATAGACTTTATTAATTTTTCTGTGTCTTGTCGGTCATATTTCATAAATTTCAGTCTGTATTTATTTTCTAGTTTGAAACCAATGTTTGCATTTAATTTTAACTACTTTTTTATGATCTTCACCCTACAATTTTATTTTTACTTATTTTAGATTTTGTAGATACTAACTCGTTAACTCACTTCTCAAGACTTCAGTGTATGTTCAAATTATTATTCGAAAAAGTTGTTGATGCAGTGTCCCAATTGCAGGGCTAGGATAAGAGGCAGGGGTAATAATGTAGCCAAGTCGCAATCAAAATGTAAACAGTAAAATGCTATAAAAAATTAAACAAATAATAAAATTAGCTGAGCAAATGTAGCAGGCGTGACCCACACAAAGAAACACACACACACATTTGCAGTCACACGCACTGCCTTTAAGATATGAAGAAGATGTTGGCAACGTTGCGACGTTGACGTTGACGTTGACGTTAGCGTCGACAGCGCCGTCAACTACGACATCAACATCGACTGCGACAACGAACTTGTTTCAATTGAAGCGCTGCTGTCGTCCCCTTCGCATCGTCCCTCTGAAAAAGCTGAAATTCAATTCATTTGGCTTTTGAACGCAAAGCCGAGCACTTTTCGATCGCATTCAACATCATCGCGTGTGTAAGCTTTTAAATGTATTCTCTTTCTGTTGTATTCCGATAAAGGCAAGAACAACAATATAGATAGACAATAAAAATGGAGCAGTGGAATAATGTGGAGCTGAGGAGCATTACCAAAAAATCGTACACATTAAATCACGACTACGATGGAGCCCAAAGGCTGACCAAGGCTAACGAGAGCTCCAACGAAACGTCAACAAATGGAAATGGCAATGCCAATGGCAGCGAGAATAATCCGTCGGACAGCAGTCAGGTGCTGCAGCCCGGCTCAGATATCAAGCCTAAGCTGCAACTGGAGGAGGTGGAGCCATTGGTGCGACGTCTGTACGGTATCACAGTTAACGAGCTCAAGGAGCTGAAGGCCTACGATGATCGCAACTATCTAATACAGGAAGATTGGTGAGTAAAAATATAAGAGAGAAAATTAAAGTATCTGAATTTTTAAAAACTATTCATTTCAAAAAAACTATTCATTTAAAATGCTATACTTCAGAACAGTTTATCGGGATTGTCAGAATTCTAAAGAGATTTTGTTTATACTTCTTGAATTCAATTTTTTTTTTAAGTTATAAAATTACATCATTTTTTAATTATACTAACAAGATCTTATCAAAATTATTGTTAAACTCTAGATTGCTAGAGAACTATGAAAACAACATACTAGTAATAGAAAATAAATAAAATAAGAAAATTCAATAGGTACTAACTATAATAATATTTATATTTTATTGTCTTGCACATTCCGCAACAAAGTTTAAAAATCGTCGGCGGGGGTATTTGAACACAGATGACAAGTATTTACAAACGGCGCGGAAGGGGCGGCTAAACAGAGACACAAACACATACAAGCACACACACATATGCACACCTAGGTTTATTTATAGCAATATTAATTAAAGTTAGTCGTGCGGGGGGCAATGGAGCTTGACGTAGTTGCCGTGTTTGTTATTATTCTCTCGGTCACCTTGACAGCAGCCCATTTTCGTTATCTAGAAACACGCTGCACACTTACCTTGGCGCATCTCCTTCAGGTCATATGATCAGTTGCTTCATAAATTTATCCAAACACCATTCCCAACTGCAGCTGCCAAGTGCTTGCAACGACTTATGAAGCGCCATCTGGCGGACTGCAGCGCAGTTCATATAACACCATTGTGCCAATTGGAATTTATAATGCCACTTACTGAGCGGCTCGACTCGACCCTAATTATTTACATTTCTAATGACTCATTTGATAAGTATCTCTATATATATTTGTCATTTGGATATTGGGGCAGTGTTTGAGAGTACAGCCTTAGTCAGCTTAGTATTTCAATAAATTAACTTATAACAAATTGATGGCACTTGAACAACAATTACTACACGATACAAATGCATATTGGGCAGGTTATTTGAGTAGGCGTGGCTTGTGAAAGCCAAACATGCTTAACTTTGTTTGATTCTCGCTGATCGGCATCGACTTGGTACGCCCCTTCGCCTTTGGCTTGGACAGACCGACGCGCCTGGCAACGGGTGCCAATTTTAGCTGTGGCTTTGCTTGCACCTGGATGCTCGGCAGCGAAACGCTGTCATCGTCCGAGGATAGCAAAAGGATGTCTTCATTACTAGAAGCGGCTACGGAATGGGTTGTGGAAGAGTCTACGTCCTTTTCTGGAATGTTAGCTTCTTGCGACTGTTCGTTTGGCTGCTCTGGCTGCACCATTTCTTGCAACACTGGCGGTTCTACCTGCATCTGTTGCTGCTTCTCGTCTGACAGTTGTTCTTTAGGAACCCTTGGCATGCGCTCTGTTTCCGAGGTGCGAGCACTGAAGAACCGACTGCGTACCTCTACCTGCTCTAGCACCTCTGTCAAATTGCAACGCTTCGGGGGATTAGCTCTGGACTGCTCCATTGTCTTTAGGGGACTGCATTTACTAGGGCTCACCAGACGCAGCAACGATGCGTTTTCACAGACAGCAGGCGGGCGTTGCAGTGATTCCTTGGCAAAAGGGTTGTGGCGACTTTTACTCAGTACAGGCGAAGATGGGGGCGTGCTCTGGCTATTACTCCGGCTCGGGCTACGTTTACGTTTGCCCTTAAAGCTGTAAACATTTATCAGTTCAGCCTCTGTCGGCTTCGCTTGCTCCTGCCGTTGATTGGCTTCGATCTCAGCCTGTATGTTCTGGCCCACAAAGTCGATTTTCTTGAAGAACAGCGCGCAACTGCTCTGCTTCAGTTCCACTGGAGTTTCCTTGATTTCCTTTTGCCAAATACTTCTGTGCTTGCTGCGCTTAATGGCATTTGCTGACGCCGCTTTTGTGGCAAGCGGCGTAGCCTGATCCGGATGCCAGTTATCCAAGGCCTTGAGAGTAAAAGGATTGAGATTTCCCAATGCCAGCTGCATTGCCTTTTCGCTGTCTGGCAGCAATGAGCCTGCATTGCTGCAATAGCGTTCATCCGTTTCATAATCCTCTAGAGGGTGCAGTCTTTCCATGCGTTTCTCCAGCGGATTGTAGATGTACATGTGCTTGAATGTCGCCTCTGCCTTCATGAAATTTTCAATGTAATCATCATCCACCTGCAATAGAAATGCGAACATGTATATTTTTCCAATTGTATGCCGATTGTCCGTACTCACCTCCAAGTTACGCATATTCAAATATTGTGGTATCTTCTTCAGTGCTATCCGCATATCGTCCTGCTCCGTTTTCAGTATGAATTTACACGCTTTCGCCAGGCCAATGCCTGGCAGTGAGTCCAGATAATCACAGCCCGATAAGATGCACATGCGGCGAAACTTTTCGAAATGATAGCGTTCCTTCGAGCAGCCCATGGCCAGATGAAACTTTTCAGCCTCGACCAGTAAACCGTTACCATTGAGATCCAACTTAAATATGACTTTCTCTGCACCAAAGAGTGTGAGATCCGAGTCCTCGGTTATGATATACTCTGCTATGCCCGCCTTGTTGAGCCACGCCATTTGTGCGTCGGCTTCGTAGGGCGCCACAATACAATCGACGTTGCGCTCGCGGCACCTCTGTATGAGCCGTAGCGCCATCTCGTGTGTGACGTCGACACCACGACGCATCTGGGAACGCGCCTCTTCCACACGGCCCAGCCTCAACAGTTCTTTGGCCCGTTTCTGACTCTGTTGACGCGATTCGCGGCGCCGCTGTTCAGTGAGTGCCTTGGCTGGCAAATGTTGTCCGTCGAATACCAGAATTACCTTGATATCGTAGGACATCAGCATTTGGACGAATTTCATGCAATACTGTACGTAAAGATCCGTATCCTCTCCACGCACAATTTTTTCAGCACAGCTGAAGACACCTTTATGCAGCCAACAGTAACTGTCGACGGCGACGGTGCTACCTCTCAAGTCTTTTAGGTGCACCTTGGCTGATGCCTTTTCCAAAAACGGTATCAGCCCGGTTATACCCATCACAATTGCTTATATTTTATTATTAAATTATTAAAGTTAATACAGCATTAGGTAAAATAATTAGCAAAAAAAATACGCGCCAAAAAAAAAAACAACTTATGCGGATGCTGCTTCTTGCTGCTGCCAATCGCCCCGAATCGCACGTTAGAGAAACATTTCTGCGCTACTCAGCACTACAGAAATTTAATTCAAAATTAATAGTTTCCGTTTTCTTTTGCTGCAGCAACGTCAAGAATCCGCTGATTGTTTCGCATTCGCCACATGGTTATGTGCTGAAAATTCTCAACGCCTTGGATTCCAAAAAGGAAGAAGTTGTGGATGCACAAAATCAACTTTTGCTTTACTTGGGTAAGCACTGAATATATTTACACAACTGTTGATAGTAATAATAATATATCCAAAAAAGCCAAACAAAATGTGAAATGTCCCCGACCCATCGCCAATGCACGTGGAAATTATTATTCTGTGGAGCAGATCAACGGAAACAGTCATGTGGTTCGTCTGCTGGAATTTATACCAGGTCAAATGTTCCACGAGGTGCCGACAACCAAAAATTTGCTCTATCAAAGCGGTGAGTATTTGGCCAAATTGGATCGAGCACTGAAAAAGTTCACGCACAAAGCGTATGACACACACAAGACTCTGTGGATGTTGCAATCGGTGCCGCAGCTGCGCGATTTTCTGTACGTGCTCGAGGATCATCAGCGTAAGGCCTTGTGCGAGGAGATAATCGAGGCATTTGAATCGAAAGTGCTGAGCGTGCTGCCCACACTGGAGCTGCAGATCATCCATGGCGATTACAATGAACAGAATATCGTGGTAAATACGCTTGCTCAAGCAGCAGGCGGAGATGCACATCGTGTGACGGGCGTCATTGACTTTGGCGACACCAGTCGATCGCCCTTAATCTTTGAGCTGGGTATTGCCATGACCTACATGATGTTGCAAGCTAAGGATTTGGCTAGTGGTGGCATTTTCCTTGCTGGTTATACCAGCATCCAGTCAATTAGTACCAACGAGCGTAGCTATCTCAAATATTGTGTGGCCGCCCGACTGGCCCAGAGCTTGATCATGGGCGCCTATACGCACACCCTGCATCCAGGCAATGATTATGTCCTGGTCACTCAGGCTCAAGGTTGGCTGCTTCTCGAGCAACTGTGGCGAGAGAGCCTGGATACGATTGATGAGCTGTGGCAGACAACGGCCCATCAATATCTCACACAGAGCACTAAATAGTTCGGATTCGATCTTCCGCCCTTCACGAAAAGTTTGATGTCAATTAATCGTAGAGTGTGTCCAATTTGTAGTATTGAAGTATCTTTGCATTTTACTTTATTTTATGTATTATTTTAATTATTGTTATATGTAATCTTTTATAATTTACAATAAAACTTGTTAAACAATTAAATGTACAGCTTTATCTTATTCAATTTAATTTTATAGTGGGCGAATAACTATGTATTTATTTTCTTTAATAATTCAAGGGAAATTCGCACTTTGAACTAATTAACAGCTAAGTAGATTACAGCAAAACTAAAAAACAATTATGAAAACTAATATAAAACTGCGAAATAAATGTTATTTGCAATATACAAGCGCATCGAAAGATTTGCTGTATAAAAACCTTCAAAATGATAAATTAAATTGCTAAGTGTGAATTCAGTTGAATCTATATATATACATACATATATAGAAATAATCACCCGGGTACTTAGGCTAGTTGTTAATTTATGTTCTTAGAAGCTAGAAAATTTACAGGGTATGCTCATGCCAGAACTCTTCTGCTTACACAAACGTTGCACAAAGTACAGATATATATATATACATATATATCAATATATATATAACGAAAGTAATTCCAATATATCAAAACTCAGAGCTCGAATTGTTATTTTTACAACTTGTTCATCAAGTTTTATTTATTTATTTTTGCCGCGTATTCTTTTTTTTTTTTTTTTGGTTTTGAATGAAACAAATTTAAGTCTTGGGTTCAAAAATTATAATTAAACAAAAATCAAATATTGTGTTGTGATTGCTTATTCGAGATCCGTAGTTGATTCAGTACTAAATGCAGACAGCTGTTCATCTACCCTTAATTTGCAATCCTATAAAAACTAGTCAAATGACGATCAGACTTCTCTATATAAACTATGCAATTTATTAGTACACAACAAATCTCCTCCTCGCACACATACGCACACACTCATACAAATATATACCTGAGTAACGAGTTTCTCAATACACACACACACTTACACATGCACACTCACATCCTGTAACCAGTCTGCATTCAGTTGGCAGCTACGGATCCTTATAACAAACTATGAATACAAGCATTTCTGCAAAAATTACTCAATAATAGAAATACAAAAAAAGAAAATATAGTAATATTCATATACATAGGGTGTTTGAAGTCTACAATTTTCGAATTTGTTAAAGCCGAACCAAGCCAAAAAACTTTTCGTTTTCTGCCTTTTCATTCAATTATTTTTGCTGTTAACCAATTTAGGATAAAGCTGAGATGTTTTTTTGCTTTTTTTGACTGTTTTATAAATATTTAACATAAGTTTTGTTTTACGTCATTTCAATACGCTTTAAAGTCTCTCTATAACTAACGACTGTTTACATAATTATTAATGGATATAATTTAAAGTTAATAAAAAAAATATTTAAAAAAAAAATGGATAAAGATTTCATATATATCTATAAATATATATATATATATATATATATATATATATATCAGCAATGTGCAACGTCAATCCGTGGGTATGTGGCATGTGGCAACTGTGCTGCTGCTGCTGCGGCACGCCTAACGTCGCCTTTGCCGCTTTCGCCGCTTGAGGAACACATAAGATGAATTCATTTCTTGGTGCCGCGCCTCTGCCGCCGATGTGGGCAGCTTTTTGCTGGCCAATGTTGCCACTGGCATAGCCTCCGCTCTGAGCCGGGCAATCGCCGTCTCACCGTGCACCGCCTCGAGCCAGGGCAGCGTAAAGTTCGGTTCGCTCTCACTAGGCTCCGCCTGTAGATTGACAACATTCTCGCCGAATGCCTGAACGGGCACCTCGGTTACATAGTTTATGGCCTCAATGTCCTCGGGCAGCGGATAGAATGTTGATATAGGCAGGGGCTCAAGCGGCACCAGCACCTCATCCTGATTATGACGCACACGCAACGCCTCGCTGCGCATCTGTTCGCGTATGTAGCGTGCATCGCGCTTCTTACGCTCAATCTCATCGCGCACGTACTTTTCGTGGCGACGCACAAATTCGCTATCACTCAATGGCTCCGTGTCATGCTTATCGTCACTGGGATGTTTGCGGATCACTTTCCACTTGGGTATCTCGAGACTGGGATTGTCGGCAAGCAGCTCATCGGCTTCCTCCAAAAAGAATTCATTGTCACAGTGAAATTCTTGGTCCTCCCACGAACGTGTCGTATATGGCTCCAACGATGTCAGAAATCTGGAATTGCTACGCGGTTTTTTAATAATTGTGCTCTTGTTGTTGTTGGTGTTGCTACTATTGCTGCCACTGCTAACGCTACTAATAGACTGCGGCGTTAATGGCGTTTGTATAGATGTTGTTGCTGGTGCTGGCACAGTTGCAACTCCTGCTGTTGCTGCTCGCTTATTATTACTGCTACTACTCGACAAAGTCAAACTGGGCGACGTTGCATTTGTCGGCGATGGTGCTGGCGTAATTGTAGCGCTTGTCTGCGCTATGGGTGGATAGATTAGGCTGGTATTCTGCATCTGAGATTTCTTGAGACGCACAAGCGGCAATGGTTGCTGCTGGCTCTGCAATCTTTGTTGTTGCTTCTGCAGATGTTCATGCAGCTTACGTTTCGTCTCTTCCTCAATGTTGGGGTCTTCCTTTTCCTCTTGCTGCTGTTGCTGTTTGGACTGTTTTAGCTCTTTGCTGCCACGTGGCGTCTTACTACGCTCCTGCTCGATGGGCTTTTCTTTTTCTAACTGTGGCTCTATTGGGCTATCATTTACTTTTCTCTTTAGCTTCTCGCGCTCTAGTCGTAGTTTTTGCTCACGCTCCAGATTTTCCTTTTGCTCACGCTCCAGTTTCTCCTTTTGCTCGCGCTCCAGTTTCTCCTTTCGCTCACGCTCCAGTTTCTCCTTTCGCTCCCGCTCCAGTTTCTCCTTTTGCTCGGCTTCTTGTTTTTGCTTTTGTAACAGCGCTGGATCTTTCGGCTGTATCCGTTTCATATTTAGCTGATTCATCCACGCCTCTTCATCTTCCTCCGTAAACGTACCTAAAGTTGCCTCCTGGTGCTTTGTATACGGTGTATTCGCTGTCCCCGTGGCCTGATTATTTTTCAACTTATCTGCACTACTTGCGCTTTTCACCTGCGACTCAGTTGCCTGATGGTTCGCCTCCAACTGATGTTGCTGCTTCTGCTTCAGTTGCTTCGGCTGCTTCTGATCCTCCTGGTTTGCCTCAGGCTGATGCTGTTGCTGTTTCTGCTTCAGTTGCTTGGGCAGCCTTTGATCCTTGCCTTCGCGTGGAGTTTTACGTTCATTTTCCATCGACTGTTTTTCCGACTTGGATTCCGGGTATGACTCGTCAAGGCTTTGCATTAGCTTTTTCTTTATCACCTCAAGCTCCATTGTTAATTTAAGCTCTCCCTCCTGCTTTTGTGTATGCTTTTGCTCGTGCTGTTGCTTTCGCTTTTTTCTTTGCTGTGCCATGTTCTCTGTATCTTGCTCTAGTATGGCATCGGACATTCCTTCTTTTTCACTTGCAGTTGATTGTGTTGTTGTTTTTGCTGCTGTATTCGGTCCCTTTACTGGCAGGTTTTTAAGTTTAACAATACGCTCCTTCTTTGTGGTTTCCACATGCGACTTGGTTATCCGATGGTTGGCCGCAGTTTTAACCGTTGCCGAATGCAGCCTTACTTTTTGTGACATTACTGAAATTGTTTTTTCTTCAATTTCCTCTTTAACATAAGAAATGTGTGTGGTATCCTCCTTCTTCTCGCACTTGTCCTCCTTCTCATCATGCTCCTTCTTCTCCTGTTGCTCCTTAATCTGCTCTCGCTCTGCCTCCTTTTCTGCATTTACCTCTTCCGCCTTCTCTTCTTTTAACTGCTGTTCTACTTTCTTCTCATTCTTCTCAACTTTTAATAGCGACTTTGTGGTCTTTGTTACTGCCACAGGCAATGTGGGTTCATCACATTTTTTCGATTGGAAACATTTGTTTACAATATCCTCTGAACAATTTAAATATTTCAACTCATTTTTAATGATGCTTGAGACTTTCTTGTGTGGCTTCGCGTGCGCGGTATCTTGCAACTGAAAATAAAAATATATAAAAATGAAACTCTCTTGTAAATATAGCAAACGCTTACCTGTCGGAGCAAGTCCTCTTGCAGTTCTTGTTGCGAGACATCCATGCCCATGTCTATGTCGCCATTGTTAACTATTTCGGAGCCCATCTCAATTACTTCCTCGTAGATGTGGCCATTGTAATTGTTATCATCGACTGTCACCTCTTCGGCACCCAGCTCTTCTTCAGCTCCGATAATAGTTTCGTTACCGATTTCCATGTCATGTGCTTCGGGCGTTTCAATATCCACATGTTCCTGTTCCTCGTCAATCTCCATTTCCATTTCCACTTCCTCCTCTTCCACCTGCTCCTCTTCCACCTGCTCCTCTTCCACCTGCTCCTCTTCCACCTGCTCTTCTTCCTCCTCCTCTTCATGTTGTTCCTGCAGCTCATGTTCTTCGTGCTGATCTTGAAGTTCGTGCTCCTCAAGTTCATCGTGCTGCTCATGATGTGCGTGCTCCATATGCTCCTCGTGCTCCTCATGCTCTAGCTGCTCTTCCTCTACAATTTCTAACTGACTATGAAAGTCGTCTATCTGAATTTGCTCTTCTTGCTGTTTTTCCTCTTCCTGTTGCTGTTCTTCTTCTTCCTGCTGTTGTTCCTCCTCCTCCTGATGCACACGATGCAAAAAGAAGGTTCTGACTTTCTTGCCGCCATTGAACTCATTGCGAGACTTATTATTCTCTACAACCGGTGTTCTTGGCGGCAAATCTGTAACAGATGTAACCAAAACATTTTGCGTTTGGTTCGAATGTGTCGCATGCGTCGAATAGCCTTGCTGCAGCGCCTCCTGCTGCAGAAACTCTATTGTCTGTGTATGCTTGTCCGCACAACATTGATATTTAGCCTTGGGCTGCTCATCAATTTCGTTTGCTGAACGCTTGATATGCCTGCGAAACTCCTTGCGGAGATCCTCAATGGTTTGGCTGAGTTTGGCTATCTGCTGCATTAGTTCCTGGTTTTGAGAAAGTAGGGTCTTGATGCGCCCATTTTGATCCTCCAACTTCTTGTCTTTCTCCATTAAACTTTCGTTTTGAGTATGCATTAAATCCAAGTGGAGCACAATCATTTTTTTCAGCGTGTTGTTCTCCACTATCAATGCGACAACATCTGAACCGCTACTGCTGCTCCCGGGTTCCGGCAAAGGGACTTGAGATAAGCCAACGCCGTCGACTCCTCTGGCATGTTGTGGTAGCTGTTGTTGCTGCTGCTGCTGTTGCTGGGGCGGCGGTGGCTTGTAATAGATGTTGCCACCGCCAGGACCAATGGGAGGATGTTTGTTGTAGCCGTAGTTATTGTGATTGCGCTTGTAGTTCTTGTAGGGTACCTGATAGGTGGATCTTGGTATATGCGGAGGACCACCGTAATTGGGTGGCTCCATGTAGCCACCTCTTTGTTGTTGCCATTTGAAACGGTTATCCATTGCACAGTCACAAATGGCACACGCACAAACGTTTCTTATTACTGTTTTCTGTTCACAAAATGTTGTTCATAGTTTTGTCGTGTTTTGTTTTCGGCTTGCAGCTATTCACCACGGCACGCCAACTTTTGACAGCCGCAGCTGATGGACGAACACAGCAAAATGCGTAAAACGGAAATATTCACCACTCTAAATTTTTTTCTTCTATCGCTTTTTCCCAGAAAAATGCGCGTTTGCAATATTTTTGCGTGTTAATCACACTGACGCTATGACATTTGGTAATTTCATTTATTTTATTTGCCAAATGGCAACTTTTCGAATACTTCTTTTAGTTCTTTTTTCTGCTTTTTTGATTTTATGCGGATAATGTAAACTCGCCCGAAAAAAGCATTTTAGAAGTATGGCGTTACTAGTGTTGCCAGGCTGCACGAGTACAGGGTTGCTTAACTCTGCCACGCTGCCAACTGTTAATTTTCACCACTTCTATTTTGCCGTCTGCTCTGTTTTTGTATGTTAAAATTCATAAATTAATTGATTGTTACAATATATTACTGCAAATTATAATAATTCCATGCCAAAGACACATAAATTATGTAACAAAAACCCATATCTCAGGACACGAGTTGGCATGTTTGCGAAACGTGTTTAGTTTTAATGTGAATGTCAATGGCAAGAAGCAGAAAAATGGCGCTAAACTAGCTTGTTTGGCAGTAGCCGAGTGGTAGACTTGTAGGCTTTAATGCATCTCAATGGCATCCATATTTGGTGAGGATGGGGTTGACGACCTGTTCAATGATAATATTGCCATCGAAAACGATCAGTTACCAAGTGATGGCGAGCCAGATGCAGGCGAAAAACTGTTTGGCGACGATGATGAGGATGCAGCAAATGGAGCTGGCGAAGGAGAAGAAAAAGCCGTTAAGGTGGAACCCAAGAAGCGCGCAGTACGGAATCCACGTCCACGCTTGACAGTGGATACGCTACGTGGCCCACGTGGCCTGCACACGATTGAAAACTATTTCAAAGACATCAAATTTAAGGGCAAGGGCTACGAGAAAGATGATTTGAATGAGATCCTGCGGCGCTTGCAACATTGGGGTCATCGGATGTATCCGAATTACACTTTCGACGATATACTAAACAATATCGAACGTCTGGGCAAGAAGAAGCCATTGCAGGTGCATATGACACGCTATCGATTGGGTCAGCTGGAGGAGTTAGCTGAACAGAATATTGAGCTGCAAAACGATGCTAATGATCAGGAGAATGATGATTATGGCGAACCATTTGATGAATTCGATGCCTTGCTGGGCGAACAAATTGCTATGTCCAAATTAGCACCTCGTACACCGGCAATCAATCGTAATTTGTCTACTACCAACAGCACACTGGTGACACCTTCATTCTCACGTAACGCTATCGTATCCACGCCATATACAGGAGCTGGTCCTACGATAGCTACTGATGATAGCATCCATGATTATGGTCAACCGCTGCCGCCATCTCAACCGGCAACCCCTGCAACAAAAAGAGCACAGCTGTCCGCCGAGCAAATGGCGCGCATTGCAGAAAATCGTCGGATGGCACAGGAAAAATTGCGAGCTAAGCAAGCGGAGGCCAATGCGGACAAATAGTTTAATTTAAGTAGAGTTATTTTTGTTGTATTGTTAAGTGGGCGTTAAGAAATAAATTAAGATTCCAGTACATATGTGCTCTAGTCGTTTTATAGATTCCCCAGAATTTTACTATACCAGTATATATACACATAGTACATATGCACATGAATGTTGCAGAGAATGAATACAAAGAATTGATTAATATTTTATTTATTAATATTCATTCCTTAGGCATACTAATAATAAATTAATTAATATTCGTAAATAAAGATGTTCCAGTCGTTTCCTATACTAATGTAAATATACACACGTTCAGGTGCTAAAGTCGAACTAACGAGAAATACTATTGAATTCGATGAACTACAAACAAATTCCTAACTGGGATGCATTGCATAATCAAGGTACAAGCGTGATTAGCGAGTGTGAGTCGGTTTGGATGTGCCTTTTAGGTTGTGAAGCGCAGGGCTACGCGTGGCAGCATTTCGAATAGACCCTTGGCCCCCTTAAGGATTACAGCGATAATATTCATGGTGAGTAGATCAGTATTAGGCACAGATTGCTCATCTGTATCCTTTGGATCGGAGCTCTGTTTGATGGCTTCGCTTATGACGTGAAGAAGGCGCTGATAGAGAAACGATTGGCGATAGATCGGCTTGGACAAGCTAAGATGGTCATCTTTGAGCAAAAAGAATTCACCGAAATCAATTCGCGACGATTCCTCCGTGACAATGCGCAACGGGAACTTAAACGTGGTCAACATGGTGGGCGATCCTTCAGCCACACTAAGGACATTCACATGACGTAGAACGGTGTGCAGACATCCCATGAACCGACGATGCATCTCCAGCAATTTTGGTGAGTTCTCTTCCATTTCCTTAACCTCAATCGACGGCGACAAAATCACTTGCATATGCTGTTTCCATTTAGCAATAGGCGAGCCGCGATGCGGAGTACCCAGAAATACAATTGCTTGCGTATTCTTGGCTAACTGTTGCACATTCTTTTCTACAGAATCTACAGATTTTAGCAGTATTAGCTTTGTAAGCAGTCCTCCCATGGAATGACCTATCCAGACCACAGGTCGTCCATTGCCCACATCGGCGGTGGCAATGCGTTCCAGCAGCGAGCTAGCGCGAACATCAATATGACCCTGGCCCTTCTCACAGGGACAATACTTGGTAAAGTTGGCAGACCATTCGGTCACTGCGGACGTATAGTCAATGCCAATGATTCTGTAATAGTGATTTATATGTGAAAATCATTTGCAATACTTAGCAGCTGAACGTGCTTACCTTGAATCGGGATAATCATCTGGCAACCATTCCATTGGCCAACAATTTGTATACTCTTCGCTACTATCTTGATTAGTCCATTCATTGCCCGAGACACTAAAATTGCCACGACAGTTCTCGTTAGCTTCCAGTGGTACATCTGGATGCACCACTTCCCAGTCCGAATCCAGCTCAGCTTCACTGCAAAGAGTTTCCATAAACTCTTTGGTAGCCGTATCGCTGATGTTCAAATGTGTATCCTCAACCTTCTTTTTGCTCGCCTTAAGCAGAGCCTCTGCGGGTACAAAGATATTTCAATATTAATCGGAATAAAATTGGTAGTTTCTTTTCAATTACCTTTCGTTTTGAGATTATGCCTGTTTGGATCGGGCTGTATTTGTGCTGGTATTAAAGGTCTACCCTGCTGCTTGTTGTACTGTGATCTACTTCCATTCCTCTTTTGTTCGCCCACAAGAAAAACATCATCTGTTTCGCTGGTGTAAAAGGCATTCTTGCCATAGAGCCCTAGTTCGGTTGGCTTACGATCGCGTTGACGCCACGTAATGAAAACGCCACCTAATAATCCATGAATGAATACAATATCCGCCTTGGGCTTGCGTCGGGTGCGCACACGTGGATGCAATGGATATACATTGGGCGGGTATGTGAACTGATTGGGATCATCGTGATCCAGATTGGCCATTGTCTTGGCCGATATGACCTGTAGACGCAAGTCGGGGCACTGTTGCCACTCAGCTAACGCACCAACCCAGCCAGACACAAAGAAATGCTCAACTGCGTCTTCAACCAGGGATAAATTAGCTAGAACTTTGCACAGTGTAGAAAGCGTTTCATTGTCATCGGCGAAAATTTTGCGCAGTTCCATTAAATGCATTAGGCCACCCTCGTGTATAATCTTTGCCGCAACTTTGGTATCCTTGGTGATGTGATGCAAAAATGAGATGATTTCCTTCATCAAATCTGTGTCCAATACGGAAAGCGAAACGATTTGATCCTGTGTTAAAAATTCACTGTCATCGTTCTAAGGGGAGAGCGACGAAAATCGTTTAGTTTTTGGGTCAATCCTATGACTTAGCCATATACTCACCACATGAGCCTGATTGGGAAAGTATTTACTGAAGAAGTGATCCACACAGGACATGGGACGCAACCGATCGAGCATCGTGTGCAGGTCACTGAGCAACAATTTCGGATTGCGGATGCAGCCACGCCTCGGCAGTGGCATAAACCAACGCATATCGGCGCCGCAACGGGCCAAAGAGACAGATGTACGTGCATCACAGATCTGTGCCAAATGCCGGAAATCCCAATCTTTCAGGTGATCCATACAGATTAGCTGTTGCACGGCCTTCAAGCGCTCCGCCTGGCTGCCGTTTTGTGCTATGTTTAGCAGACGCCAGGCCACCGAATGCTTTGCTGACTTCCACCATTTGCCAATGGGATTGATGATCACGCTTATCCATTTCTTATCGTCCTCCTGTTTCTGTTGCAACTTGCGCATGGATTCCCGATAAATGTGATACTTAATGTAAATATACTCAGTGCGACGCTTGTCTGGCTCCTGTTGCTTCTTTTCCACATATTGCGATAAATATTTACGAATTTGAGGCGACTCGTATAGAATGATGCCGGCACTAAAAGAATAAGTTTAAGAATAGTTGTAAATTGATATATTTAGCATGTTGTTGTTGTCGCGCTTGTTATTGTTGTTTACTCGTTATCGTTGACTTGTTTTCATTCTATTTAACCCAAATATCAACAAGCCAGAAAGTGCTGCCAATAAAACCTTGTTGACAAAAACGTGCCATAAGCAAAAACAACTTTTAGTTTTATAAAAGTGGGCGTGTCACCTATAGCAAAGCACAAATGGCGCCACACGCGCCAGAATAAATTTTCATGTATAAGCAAACAATAGTGTTGCCAATTTTTGAAAATAAAATCTAGCAGCTAAAATAGCCGAATTTTTCAGTAATTGAGATGTTGATTTGTGACTACATTTAATTATAGTTTATACATACATATCTATTTATCTATCTATCTAATGCTTTCAATTTTAGTACATATTACAAAAATTTTAAGATTACTTTTCTCGAATATTTTCAAATGTACTGCCAATGTTATCAGCTGAATGACTCATATTTCTGACAAAAATGAAGCCAAATGTAGCTAAAAATTAGCGAGATAACCAACACTGAACAATATCAAACAAAAATCGTTGGGGGCCGTTATTCGCAAAAACTAATGCGCACTATTTCGGCGCTCAGCACGTTTTGTTGTTTATGCGCATACGTGTCGGTGTGTTGGTGTGATCACTGATCAGGAGAGGGCCATGACCAGCTGTTACGCACAAGAAGCAAAGAAGCGATGAAAGCAACAACAAAATTAACTCTATCATGCTATCTCATTTTGGCAAAATCATACGTTTGTTTTGATCGTGTTTTGTGTTAACATCAACAACAACAACGTCCGTTGGCTGTTGCTCAAAATGTGCAGAGTGAATAATATGTCTGTTGTTGTTATTATTCTCCCTTACAAATGCTGTAAACAAATGACGTCACAACTGCAATCGCCCGATTTATGGCAACAAATGAGGAAACACGTAATTATCTTCTTTTTTTGAGTGCAGTTGCACTTAGATATATTTAGTTAAAAAATACAGGCGAAGTACTTTTGTTCAGGGCCAAGTGGCGCCACACTCAGCACATGTGTGCCAAGACTTTTATATTTCAGCTTGAATTTGAAATGACGAGCCCCCACATTTAAATGGTATGGTTATTCATTCGTTTTAATTATATATATTATAGTACCAGCTGTTGCTGTTACAATTGCACTTGCTTTCACTTACGTGGTCAATATGCCAAAACCCCCAAGTAGCTTTGGAAAACGGCGTAATGTTGCTTTAATATCCTCTAATGACATTGCCTGCTGTATTTCGCTTGTGTTTGTGTAGCCTGGTGAACTCACTAGTAAAATTTGTCAAGTAGTTGCCAAAAGTTTACTATGTTATTTATTTTTTTTTTTTTTTTGTTTTTATATTTGGTTCTCACTATCACAATTTAAATTTAGATTGTTGTCTCAGACTTCGAACTTATCACTTTTACTCAAATTGTATTGTTATTTTTTATTTTATTTTTTCTTAGTAGTGTATTAATTAATAAGTGTATTAATTAATAAGAGACCCCTCTGGGGTCTAGAGTTTTCTTTTCTTGAACTTTTGTGTTGTGCTTCAAATTGTTGAATGACTGTTTTGTTTTGTTTCGTCTCTTTTATCACTTTTCGTACGTGCAAGGGCTGCCACACTGTTTTATAATACACACAGTGCTGCCACGTCGTTAGCAACAATTACGGACAATCTCTCAACAAGAATGTTTAATTAATATGATGATGTTGGTTTGAAAAAGGTTTGGTGGTTTTAAACAATGTGTTTATTAAAATAAAAATATATTTTTGGCGTCACAGTCGCTCTTGTAAAATATATTTTTAAACTCGCGCTCGCTGTTAATAACACTTCGGCATATGTTAACGGCTCTCTCACCGTTGTGCGCTCTCCAATCAGAAAAACTGTTTGCTTTGTAAAAAACTGTGGAGCGCGAGTATGTTGCCTACGCTCAGCGAGTTTGCACGCACTGGTCTCGCATTTTGTGTAAGCAGAAACTGTGTTGAATTAATGTACAATAATGAAAATACATTTTCGCGAGCAATATGGCACCAAAGGGGAGGAAATACTGTATGTGACGCCAGCAGGTGAGTTGATAATACCACAATCATATCTGTAGACAATTATGCAAGCATCATTATCCGCAGATCAAAGCAATATTGTTCGAGTGCCTCTACGCGGCGATAAGCTGGTCATTCAAGAGAAGTTCTTGTTATTTCGTGTGCTGCAGAATGTCTTTCTACCCAAGGGTTATCCGGACTCTGTGTCCGATGATTATGCGGCGTATCAAATCTGGGATACAGTGCAAGCATTCTGCAGTACCATTTGCGGCACACTCTGCACACACGCCATTCTCAAAGGAATCGGAGTGGGCAGCGAGAATGTGAATGCCTATTCGGCGACGGTCACCTGGATACTAAAGGAGGGCAGCGGGCATATGGGACGCATTATATTTGCCTGGTGGCAAGGTAGTCAATTGGATGTGGACTCTAAGAAATGGCGACTGCGAGCGGATTTTCTCAATGATCTGGCAATGGGCATTGAGATCTATGTGCTTCCCAAATATCCGCATTTTAGCACGCAAATTCTTTGCGGCTCCACCCTGCTAAAGGCAATTGTAGGCGTGGCGGGCGGTGCGACGCGTGCTGCATTGACGCAGCATCATGCGGTGCGCGGCAATTTGGCGGATGTCGCCTCCAAGGATAGCTCCCAAGAGACGTGCGTCAATCTGATTGCCTCCTTTGTGGGTCTCTATCTGCTGACTATGATCAAGAGCCAAGCGATGCTTTATACAGTTTTCTATATTGTGGTCACGCTGCATCTCTATGCGAATCTAAAGGCTGTGCGCGCTGTTTGCTTGCGCACCTTCAACGAATCGCGTTATCTAATTACATTAGAGGAGTTCTTTAGGTCGTCACAGATGCTAACACCACAGCAGGTGAGCTTTATTTTTCATATACTATTTATATCTAATATCTAACTACTGTCTCTCTTTCAGGTCAACAAATTGGAACGCGTTACTCTCGGCCAAATGGTCTCCGTATCACTGAAAATTCGGCTCGGCTTGAGCGTAAAACATCTCATAGATGAGTACAAGAGCAGCGATGTCATCGAGGATATTGTGTCCTCGTTTGATCCCCATGAACACTTCATTATAGCGGAGAGCAAGAAGTATTTGGGTGTCTATTTGCATTTCGATACACGACCACAGGATGTCCTGAAGGCTTATTTCTTTGGTGTCTCCTATCTGCAGGATCGGAAACATATAAAGGAAAAATATTGGGATATCCAAGGCAAATGGCAAGAGTTCTTGAGTCTAGCGCAAAAGGAAGGTAAGATATACCAGTCGGAACTGTGTCGATCTGGTTTTGTAATAAACAAAATATTTATAATACTCCTTTAGGTTGGATAATTAATCAGCATTTATTGTTGGTTGATGAATATCGTTTGGACTGGAAGGCTTAAAGAATGACCTAAGCTTACTAACTGGACCAGATACGATAAAATGCTAAGATCGCCGCTTGCTATGAATGACATTATTAAATTATTATTTTGTAGGCTTGGAGCATTTAAACGACACAGACACTCACTCACACACATTCTCACATATCTCACATGGTTAATAACCATAAGGCAAACGTTGATATTAACAAAAATGATTGCGACTATGCATATTTACACATTTTAGATTTTAGACACAAGAAAACATTCATGCGCATCTATCTCAACTATACTTAATAACTGAAAGGTAAATCATTCGAATATAACGTGAACATCTTCCAACTAATGTAACTCTGCCTTAGCACAAAGTAACGTTTGTAAACGATATTCAATATTATACTCAAAGAGTCCTTATCTGGACTTTCTCTATTTGTATCTAGGCCATCTAAAGAAAAGACCCTCAAGAATTTTAGAATCAAACGATGTGTTGGAATATTTAATGAATATAATGTCTATTTTTTACTAACTTACCACTTGTATATTTCGAGGAGGTACTTTTTACCACAAATTGAAAGCAAAACTAAGAATATATAAAAAAAGGAAACTTCGCAACGATCGATCCACTTAAATTGCAAGTCATAAAATGTGTACAAAGTTCATTAACTGAAATTAATTAATTAAGCACTCTCAATTAGTACATTTATACAAGATACAAGAAACGTGTAATATTATTTATAAGCTTCGTATATTTATGTAATAATAATTGATGTATGAATTTTATATTTTGCAATATACTCAGTCCATTAGCTTAGCACTTAAAAGTTAGCTTCAAAAATGCTTTTTTTACTATGCGAGTCAATGGTAGTCAAGAAATGCAATTGATTTTAATAGAACAATAAATAAAGTTCTTCGCAATTTTATGCAAAGATAATCGAATGATGTCTTACTAGTTGAATACTTAAATTTTGTAATACAAAGATAACGGATTATGCGTCCTGTGTCATGACAAGCAGACAACACATATTTAGAGCAACTTTTTGCACCAAGTTTGAGCGTTTGGTCCCACTGTTAAAGACGCTGTAAGTTATTCAAACAACAGTTTCGTTACTTTTGATGTTAATTAACAGCTTTGTCGCTTCACAGTTTTGCTCTGTTATCCGATTTGAAATTTGGCGGGCACTTAATTCGAGATCCCTAAAATGCATCTAAGCAATCAAAATTAAGTATTTCGTTGATAGATCCAATAGTAGTGTATTCATTATTAAAATTATTGAAAATTCAAAGATGGAGTCTTAAAAAGAGAGGTAGTCTGACTGCCCCAAAATCATATCCACAAAACAACAATATCATACTCTAATTTTTTGCATAGACTGTGAAAACACCCCAACAGAATTTTTATACAAACATAAAGAGATAAACATACAGACATGGACATAATATAATTAGAATTTTACAAAAGATAACAAAGCATAAAATACGTTTTTTATAAATGGGAAATCGCATTCTACCGAGGCAGTTAGTGTCTTTGCAGACCCCATAAAGTATTTATATTTTTGATCAGGGCGACGAGCTGAGTTGATCTAACCACTTCTAAAGCACTCTTACTTGTTAATACTAGATTTCAAACAAATTATTCTGGCAGTTCTAAGCTGATAAGATAACCATATTTCACTATCGATACAACAAAAGTGAAGCAAGCTATCAATAGGGTAGTGATATTATGCAATACCCGCTGCCCAGTATATCCACAGAGAAATGACCTTGGAAGTGCATGGGCAACATGCTAATAAATCGAGCGATGCACCCAACCTGAAACGCACCGCAATGCGATAACAATTAATAAGCAATCGAGGAGGCACAGCAATTGGCAATCAAATGTGTTTTTCAAAACAAAACATTTTACTGCCAAACTATAATTATTATAACTGTTCGCCGTATGGACAGATATAGCAATAAACAAAGTCGCCAAATCGGTCAGAGTGTTGGAATTCCTAATGTAGTACTTGTCGCACTTCTCAGGTCTGCTTTGACTATTCGCCTTTTAATGCACGAATTTGTATGCCGAGCAAGAACCTTTAATCGGCGAGTTTATATTATAAACACACGAATCACATATCAGATCGATGTCAGTCGTGGTGCGACGCCGTTGTACACAGTCCGTTGTTGGGTCGAGCGCTGCTAGGCACGGGAATTCAATTGAAATTCAAGCAGAATGTTCATCAGCCTATCGACGTTTCTTATCAGCGTGGGGGTATATGCACTCGCCGCTTATCTGTACGAGCAGCTGAGGACGCCCTATCGCTTGCTGAAGTTGCGCCTGCTTGGCGATGCGAGCCACAGGCTGAGCATCAAGGAGCGCTTCGGCAGCTGGGCGGCAATCACGGGCAGCAGCGATGGCATTGGCAAGGCCTATGCCATGGAGCTGGCGAGGAATGGCATCAATGTGGTGCTGATAGCCAGGAACGAGGAGAAACTGAAGGCGGTGGCCAAGGAAATAAGTGCGTGAAGAGAGAATGGAATGTGTGTCACATGAAATTGGTGTATAAATATTCTTTTTTAAACTCTCTCAGCTACGGAGTGCAATGTGCAGGTGAAGATTGTCATCGCTGACTTCACGAAAGGCTCAGCCGTCTATGATCACATTGAGCAGGAGCTGAAGGATTTGCCCGTAACCATACTCAGTAACTATACTCATTCAGTAATCTTGATCTGAGCTCATCCTCGCATCCTGCATAGTTAACAATGTGGGCATAGGCTTCCCTGGTGGCGTCGGCCGCGTGAGCAAGGATCAAATCCAGCAGCTCATCGATACAAATGTGTTAGCAGCAGCCCAGCTATCCCGCTACTTCCTCCAGCGCCTGCGCTCCGAGAAGAAGCAGGGCGCCATTGTCAACGTCAGCTCCGGCACGGAACTGCAGCCGGTGCCCTATGCGGCGCTTTATGCGGCCTCAAAGGCATTCGTGCGCAGCTTTACGCTGGCGCTGCAGTGGGAGGCCGCGCCCCTTGGCATCCATGTGCAGTTGCTGTCGCCCAACTTTGTGGTCACCAAGATCAACAGCTACTCGAAGCGCATTATGAGCGGTGGCCTCTTCATACCCACGGCGGAGCAGTATGCACGCAGTGCTGTGGCCCAGCTACGGGATGGTGTGGACGAAACTCCTGGTTATTTCTGGCATCATGTCCAGAATGCCGCAATGACGGCCTTCCCATGGAGATTGCGTTTAAATTTGGCTCAGATATTCTTCAAAAGAGTTGCTGATAAGAAATAGGAGCATTGCATACTTCTGGACTGCTCGAGAAATGAATATGGTTTGTGTCTTAGCTAGTTGTCTTGGCAATGACGTACAAAGTTGTTCACAAATTAAAAAGCTCTAAGAACAGTTGTTTTTTGTTTTCATTGTCAAAATCAATAAATTTTCTTGAATGTACAAATATTTTACTGCGAGTTCTTTTTAGTCTTTTCACGCGAACAGACACAGGAATTAGTTTTTCGGACTGCGCAGGTAATTCATTGATGTTGTTTATAGTTTTCTATGTGTATAAAATTGGATTGTTTAGAAATTGTGTATTTATAAATAGTTTTTCTAGTCAAACAGGCATGCGCCCAAACAATTTTTGCTATATCTATTTCGTTATTTACTATTTTCTCGACACCTTTTCCATAAAGTCATTCAGTTAGGTTTTTCAATCAATAAATATTTTCACTCACGCAAGCTAAGTGCAATCAAAATACTTTTCAATTATTATGTTTATTTAGCATGTTTGTTTATTTTGTATGGAAAAGGTTTGAAATACGTCAGCTCATAGAAATCGTTTTATGACTTGATATCAAAGTAATTAGATTTTCAATAGCATGGTTCTCTTAGTTATTAAAAGAATTTAAAAAAAAAAATATGTTTAGTTTTTCTTTTATTTCATATAATTGTTGTATAATAAAAAAAAAAAAAGAGTTTTTTTTTCTTCAGTCACAGTTTTAATATATTATTTACTTAAATCGTTTATCATGTCGGAGCACTTTGACAACGGAAATTTGTTATCATTAGCAAAGGCTCCAAGTTCAGTTCATGTCGTGTAAAAAACAATTTATGCATCTTTCACTTAATTGATAGCAATTAGTTGTTGGTAGCACTACAGTACTACTACTAGATACATATATACATAGTCCGACTCGGCGTCCAAGTGTGAGTAGCCCAATTATGCACTTGAGAGCTTTCCGAAATGTGAACCAATTTAACAATCACACTTTTGCCTGCAGCGTGGAGACTGTCCAAAATCTCTACTACAATAGCTCGGCGATAATTAAACGTCTCATAATTTGCCAGATTTTGTAATCTTCGCACCGCGAGCAAAACATAAACTCTTGCTGTTTATGAAGTAATGAAGCTTAAAAAAAAGCCGAAAAAGAAGCCGAAAGAGCTGCAAGACGTCTCGTCTGGGTTTTGTATCTCTCTGTGTATCTGCAGTCTGTTGTTCGTGCTCATGACTTAGGAGACAATTGCAGCTTGTAAAGCCCGAATAAAACTATATATAAATATATATATGTATGTGTATATATTGCTGTACACATACATACATACGATTTGTTGTGGTCGTGAGCTCTGCGCGGCCTGCAGCTCGAGCTCAGTTTTGATTTCGGTTTCGGTTTCAGTTTCGGTTTCGGTTTTTAGTGCGTGATCGACGCTCAGACTCGCTACTTGTGGCCGCAGCTCAAGCCGTGCAGACACTGAAAATTACAACTATAAACACAAAAATTAGTTTTAATTGAAATTCAATGAATTCCCAATTGAAAACTGTGCGCGTTTATTTCCCATATAGTATATGTGCCCATCATGCTGATTAGTGAACCGAACTGAACTGAACTGAAGCCTTGCCGACAGCTATCAGCTGTCGCTTATCAAATTTATTTGTATATACATATGTATTTGTGTGAATATCGTGTACACTATATAGACTTTATACTGAAACAACAATATTCATTATGCAGCCGGCACTGGAATTAAGCATTTATACACTGCTACGCATGGCGTTCATTTGGCAGCTCGTTTCCGTGGCCATTTACCTGGTCGGCACTTTGGCCATTGCCGCCTATCTCTACGACAACTTCAGGTCTTTGATCAGCATTATCAAGGCGCTGCTGGAGCCGTACTTTCAGCCACAGTTGCCTCAAACATTGCTGGATAAGTTTGGCAAATGGGCGGGTAAGTTTCGTTTAATAGATTGTCTCTATTCCACTCTCTCTCTCTTCCTCTCTCTTTCTAATTTTGTCTATGTGTGTGTGACACATAATATAAATAATAAATATCTAAATAAATTATAGAATATTACTATATCATGTAGGAAAGTAAGAGATGAAGTTTTTACATTTCTGAAAGATCTCAAATATCCTTTCCCTCAAAATCCATTACTTCAGTTCACTGAAAGCATTTTCAATAATAATCATATAATAACGAAGATAATCAAGTATAATGCACATTACATTATTGTATTTTTCTTACATTATTATTGACAATTACATAGAAATTTGCAAGCTTACAAAATAATGTAAATTGCATGCCCAAGGGCAGCTTAATAGAATTTTTTTCGTGATCATCTATGCTATATTATTTCTACAAATTATTTCCTAGATTCATACACTTAGCCAAGTCAGCATGAAACAACAATTACCTATCAAACCATTCATGAGAACTATTCGTTAGATAAGACTAGGAATATCTCGATTTCATTGATAAGGCTGGCCCATCGAACAGCTGTTTTGGCGTTCACTTGCTCTATATTTATTTACGAGTTGTTTATGGAGCAAATCGAAGTCATTCAACTCGCACAGTAAAAGCGAAATCAAAACCGGATTTATTAAGATTTGACTGCAAGATACAGATAATATACAATTA